ACGAAAAAGTATACGTGATGAATGAAAATAATGTTCAAATCGTTCGAAAAGATTTTGTACTGATTGAAAATTATCTATTGTTGAACATGTTAAACGATCAGATCTAAAGAAATAGAAAATATTTTTTCATATGAATAATTCCGAGAAAATATAATCAATAGAAATTTTTATAGTGGAGGAAGATAAAAAAAAACAGGAAAATATTCACTCATTTTTCAGTCAGTTAAGGACAACTGGTTAGAATCAGAAGTAGTTTGTTAAAATTAAGTTTTTTTCTTCTTTCCGAATATGTGTTTAGAATTTTCTACAGAGGTAAGATTGAACAATTATCATCAAATTGTTTCAAAAGATTCGAAATTCAGTGGTTTTAGAAAATACTATTTTGATCAATTTTGTATTTCGCTTGAAACCTATCAAATTCAAAATGCGAAACTGTTTTTAATGGCTCAGTTTGCTCTACAAAGCGTGCTATTCACTTTTCTATTGTATCTTCTACGACAGATTTTAAAACTTTTAGCTCTTTAATAGAAACACAGATGAGATTTCGTTTAATGTAATATCTCCTTTTGTATAGAGCACAATATTCTATCATAATGCTAAGTTGAAGATATTCGAAGGTACAAACAAAGTACATTTTAAGGACTACGCCAAAACCACTATTTTGCCTGGTACAAACACAATTTTAAACCTGAAAAACTTATTTTCGAATTTTAACTTGAAACTTTGGTTGGTAACAGATCTTAGTGAGAATAGTTTATCGTAAAAGCTTCAGAGCTTTTGATTCGATTCTATTTTGAAATGAGAATAAGCAATCTGCCAGTTGATACCAATGATGTAAAAGATGCGCTATTACCATAGTTGTATCTTAAGATCGGAAGAACGACAAGATCTGAAACACTCACAAAAACCTATTCTTATTAAGATCAATCTCTATGCAAAGTTTCAAGTTGAAATTCGAAAACCAGTTTTTCTGGTGTTCCTGAGTAGTACCATGGTATTCATTTAAAAACTGTTGTAGAAGTGTACTGTATCTACAGCAAAACGCTAGGCGTATGAAGTTTCTTCAGGGCCTTCATATCTAATTTCGGTCAAGATAATGCAAATAGTCTCGACTCAAAAGTGATTTATCAATTGGAGAACAGGCCGCCATGGCTGAATGGCTGCGTTGTTCGCCACGTATCGAACTTCAAGAACAAAAAACGAGCACATCTAAACTGTCTAGATATTAATTATTCTATTTATTAATTTGTCTTTTACCTTCTACCAGATACCGTAGCACTATCACGAAATAATAAAATTGTTTCAAACATATTAATTTTTGTTGATGTTTCAAATAAATAATTAAAACATTCAACTTTAACATCTAAAATACTTGTCATAATCATTGGAATAATTTTTTCACGTATACGTCTATCAGTTGATTCATTAAATTGTATTGTTGTTAATGTTGATAAAACTTGTTTAATAATATCAATATTAGTTGAATCAAGTTTTTCTTCTAATTTTGTTACTATATCTATTTGTAAATAATCATCACAAAAAATATCTGTTACAAGTGATATCATTTGACAACGTACATCATTATTCATAATTAAATCAATAACATCTAAATAAAAATAAAGTAATTCTTTAGCATTTGTTAATTTTCCTATTGGAAGATAATGAAATGTTTGTAATATAAGACGTATCATTGATAATGGTAAATTTTGTACAAGAACACGATCACCACCTTTATTATCAAAACGAACAAGACGTTTAAGTAAATATTTAGCTAAAAACATTTGTAATTCATCAACACATAATAATATACGCATAAGACTATCTTGTTGTTGAGAACGAAGTGGTGAAACATCATCGGTACTTGATGTTGGAAGTAAAGATGAACGAAATATAGAATCATTAGAAAAGAACGATATTAATTCAGCTTCAAATTGTTTTAAAGATATTGGTGCTTTTGCTGTTGTTGTTGTTATATTATTATTAGTATTTGATGATGAACGTAAACATTGTGATAAACGTTTGGCCAATATACCTTGATCGACTTTCAGTTCAAGCTAAATAAAAAATAAAAAATAATAAATTTTTAATGAATTAAGAAATTTTGATTTTATTTGAGTTGAGACAAATTTTCTTTGAATTTATTTTATGTACTGAGTATCATTTTCATTTGAATCATACAAAAAACAAGATATGAAATCTAGTTACTTCCAGAATGGCTCAGCTTTTAATACAATAATTCTTCGAATTATTTCGTGTGTTCTGAAACGTTTTGATATTCATTATCATATAACTCATCATATATAGCAAAGATAGGATCGGTCCGTGTTTTTTTTTGGAACCGAACCGAACCGATCCTATCGCTGTTCTCTAACATATGTTAAGAAATCGTTTTCGAAAAATTTTTATCCAATAATATGAGTAACTGAATTTTTAACATGTTTAAGAAGATGTTTTTGTCCATTTTTATATAATGTTGAAAAAACTAATGATATCTGTTTGTGATATATGGACAAGATGGTCTCGGTGGAACTTGGATCAACAATGACTGGTCTCGCTCACGTCTAGATACAATTAGTCACCTAAGGATAAAAAAGAACAACAGAACTTTTAAATGCTTACAAATAGACTTTTTTTTTCCTTTTTATGTGACCATAGCCAGAACCAGTGGCATATCCACAGATTTTTTTATTTATCGGTAATTTACCAGTCAAAATGTTTTGAGGAGTAGACAATTATGGGTAATTGTCATTATTTTGAAAAACTCAGTGAGCAATAACTTTTCGAGCCGTGTGTAATCGCCCATGTCTGAATACATTGCTGTTCACTAAACTGACTCATAAAACAAGCAAGATCTTAATCGTATTAATACTATTCTTTGAATATTTTGTTGATAAAATTACAGCCTTGTGATTGTTTTGAAAATATTCATGTCCTTCATGGCTGAAAGAAATGATTGGTCTATATAGATATGAAAATTTTCTCGTTATTTTTTGTTTTTTATTTTCCATTTCCTAACTCACATGTAATTCATCATTGTTATTCATATTTTCTTCATCAGCCATTTTTATTTCAAGTCCACATTCATCAAGTATACGTGTTATAAACATATTTGTTGCTTGTGCACTACGTTGTGATCGTTGTGGTGGTGTTGAACTATATTCTTGTATTCGTCCAAGTGATTGAGTTGATTGTTTTTGTGTAACTTGCTGTGTAGCACGAATCTCATGTTGACGTAATAAACCCATTTGACGATTCATTTTCTTTTGTTTTGTTTTTTTTTTGCAATCTAAATTTTATTTATTGATTTATTTGAAAAATTTTCATTATTTATTTATTGCAAAATGCAAATAAAATTATCATTTTTTTCTCTCTCTCTTGTAAATCAATATTATAATAAATGAGAATACAAATCAAAAAGATAAAAATTAATGTGTGTATTAAATCAAATCTAATCCAGCAGCAAAACTGTTTTTCATCTCTATTTCATCTAATACACACATATGTATACAAAAAGAAAAAAGAATTCACACAAACATATAATGAAGACAAAGAAAAAAAAGAAGATATATATAAATTGAAATCGATATTCGTCAGAAGACTTGTCAACTGAGCAAAATTATGACTAGAATACAACAAATAGCTGACTATATTCAGCTCGATTTGATAACAAACTAAAATAAAAAATATTCTACCAACGAATAAACTTAATACAAAATCTTACTCAAAGTTTTCATCTATCTAAAATAAATTGTTCAGAATGAAAAACAAACAAAAAAACAGAAGGAGATTCGAAAGAAAAAAAAAAGAAAAGATAAACAACAAAACAATCACAATTGATTAAATGATATATGCGTATTCATTGAGGTAGGACAAATAAATCATATAATGATTGTTGTTTGCGTTTGTTTTTCGAAGACATGTATTCACTGTTATACAGAATACTCGAAGGAATAATAAACGATTGAATGAAAACCAAATTGAGTAAAATTTATCTTTAAATTTGGATGCTAGGTTAAAAAAAAACAACACCAGATGATTAAATAATGCATCATTGTTACAATTGTACAAAGACGAAATGAACAAATAAATACATATCATTATTTGTTATTTTAATAATCCTAAAAACGTGAATCAAAATAAAAAAGGAAATTAGAACAATGAGTTTTTAAGTATGAAGAAAATGAGTTAACGATTAAGAGCAAACTATAAGGAAAGCAGAGCATACTTCAAAACTAAACCAGATAATTTTTTTTTTGAAATTTAATGATGTTAATTTTGTATTTTTTTTATGCGCATAAAGCCTATCAAAATTAATTTTGAGATTTCCGATCAGATGAAAAAACAGAACATTTAGTTGAATTGTTTTAAGTTTTTTTCTGTTTAGCATGTCGAAAAAAGTAAGAATAGTCTCAATGCTGAGAAACGAAAAAGCATAGGTAAAAACAAAAAAACTAACTACCCGTTGTATTGTTGATATCTCAGCAATCGGTCAATATTATCTCAATTACTGATTGATCTCAATTTCTTAGCTGATATTAGATAAGAATGCAAAGCTAGGCAAGTCAAGTCATATGTAGTAGGAGATTTTCAATTTTTTTTAATCATTTTATACTAGAAAACAGATTGTTGAGTTGATAACAAAATGTCTCAAATGTTTTGAATTCAAAACATGCTAATAAATATTCTGTTGTACTTAATTTTTAGCCTGACTTGTGATTTACTCAGTTCTATAAGACTATTGTCTGTTATAAATTCTATTTAATTTTTTTTCGTAATTCATTTTAATTTAACAATCGTATTCTTTAAGAAATTTCAATAAACAAAATACGAGAATTGTATAAATTATTTCTACAGACTAAATTAACTAAGTAACCCTCTACTTATCATGAACATTATTAATGATAAGATTTAATTATTAATAGCAGAAGAAGAAGACAATTTATGAAATGCAAATTTTTGCAGGAATTAAAATCATTTCTTCTTCACCTTCATAATTTGTATTATTTTTTTTGTAATGATGTTTTATTTTGATTTTCATCTGATAAATGTATATCTTCATTAATATTATATAATTTTAATTGTTGTTGATATTGTGGTGTACGTTTACTTGATATAAAAGCAACATGTGATTTATCAAAATCTTCTTCATCTTGATTTATTTTAGTATAAGGTTCTTGATATTGTGATTTTGGTAATGATATAGATGGAACATGAAAAAATTGTTGATGATCATTTGATTGTTTATTATTACTAGTTGTATTATTTGAAGATTTAGTTATTGCAGATGTTGAATTTGTTGTTGGTCTTTTAAATACAGTTGATATTCTTGTTAAAAAATCATATGATATATCATGTTGATTTTTAATTGCTTCTTCATGTTGTTTTTGTGCTCGATTTATTCGAACTTTTTCATCAATAGCTTGTTGTTGTGAAATAAGTTTTTGTCGATTTCGTTTTGAAAAACGATTATACCAACGTTCATCAATTAAAGTTTCTATTTGTGATGTTGTTTCAATCAAATCATTATTTTCATTTTGATTTTGTGTATCACTATGTTGTATTATTTCTTCACATGATTTTGATTTTCCTATACGATTTGATATAGGTAATGTTCGTATATGTACAAATGATGATAAATTTTGTTTTATATTAAGACGTACATGATCACTTGGATGTAAAAATCGATAATAAAGAAATTGAAATAAAATAGCTAACCAAAAACCACAACAAACAAATGTTACAAGTGAATATTTAAATACTATATTTGATTCAGCTGAATGTATTGCATAGATTATTGAAAAACCAATATTTTCTATATAATAAATTGTATAAAAACCAATATAATGTGCACGAGTATCACCTTTGCGAAGATTCTAAGAGAAATAAAGAAAAAAAAAATATTTTATAAGAGACTCTCTCAAGATGCTAAAAAATCTTTTTGATTGAAGATTAAATGTGATAGACCTACGAATGCGATATCGTAAATTAATTTTGATGCAAGTGGCGATGAGAAGGAATTCTCATGTCAAGAAATATAGACCGTTTCTGGCCGGAAACTCACGTGTTCTGACACCGAAACCATTGATCTGAATTATGAATATCTAAATTATAAGCAATATTTCTCATCAACTACGTTTTTGATTCATCAAGAAAACTAAGATTCAGAAGTTAAATTGGAAATGTTGTTTATAACTTAGATATTCATAACTCTTTCTAGTCGCAATCTGTACCAAAATCAAGTTAAAGTATTTTATTCTTAGATATGTCTTATCTAATCATCAATCGAAAAGAGTTTTAGCTTCAAGTGAGAGATTCCATCATATTAAATTCCAGAGAGGAACAACTTCATTCGACTTGACATTTCATTAAATAATCAAAAGGAAATTATTTATCGATTTAAATCTATTTTATATAAAATCTGTTTTTTATCATTGAATTTTTCTTTATAAAAATTTACCATATAACAAAATATAAATATATATGAACAAACAAGATTGTAACATTTTTCAAAAATAGCTTCTCGTGGATTGTATGTTGTTTGATCACTAATACAAAAAATTGTACGCTACAAAATGAAAATAAATGATTTTATCATTTGTATAATTATTAGAAAAAATTATTTACAAAACGAAGAATCCAAAAAAGCATTGCAAACCAATGTGCAAATATTATAATCCAAAACCATGAACGAAATGTAGCTGCAAACATAGCAAGTGCTAATACTCTTGGAGTTATCAAAAATAAATACCAAAACTTAATAAAAAGAAAAATTTTCAATGATTCATTACAAAATAAACAAAGAATTTTTTTTCTATAATTTATACCCATTGAATAATTGTACCCCACCATGATACTAATTGTGGTGCAGGTTTTCCTTTTGGCCAATCTTGTGGTGAATGTGTTAATTGCATATGTCGCCAACATCTTGAATAACCACTAAGTGCATATGCTAATGAACCAAGTGATGAAACAATTGATAAAGTTTGTTTTAAAAATAAAGTATCAACTAGAAAATATAAAATATAAATTTTCAAAAATCAATTAATAATTATAATTACATTTCATTGATGTTGAACCAAGTCGTAACATAATATATAATTGTAATGTTACTTGTGAACCAGAATCCATAAAACAATCGAATACACGTAATAAAGCAATATCAGCATCAATTAATATTTGTTTAGTTAAATAAAAACGTTGCCATTTTGGATTGTGACGTTTTTGAAAACCTTTCCATGTATAATATAAACCACGAATATATCTAAATAAATCATATATTTATTGAAAATGGTTATGACAATCCCAATAGGATTAAAATGTGAAACATAATATAGCTACTGTTGATAATTACATGGAGATTGTTTTATTCTATTTCTTTTCGGACACATTTCTTCATCATCTTTTTAGTTACTCCTCCAGAAATGCAATTAGGAAGTTGTTGATATATTAGAATGAGGTTTTATTGGTATACAATCTATCACGATCTGTAGAGGTTGGTCCAAACAATTATTGATTTTTATTAGTAATCATCTGATGATGACATGTTAAACACTATTAGTATTTGCATTTATATTGCTAATACTAAACTCTAATGATTCAAGAATAGTCAAGTAAATGATTCATTCCAAAAGATTTTATTTCAAAGTGAATCAAAAGTGTAATTTTCTGATTTCTTTTATTTAAGAACTATAATTTTGATTTCTATATTTAAAAACTAATAAAATATTTTTTTTTGTCTTTATGTCTTACTTCACAGATAAATCTAATTGTAATATAAGTATAATAATTCGAATAATCCATGTTAAAATATTTGCAGTTGCAGCTGATATTTGAAAATATTTTCCTTGAACGAAATCTTGTTGTTGTGGTCGTAGATCTTTTTCTGATATTTGTAGTTTAGGTTTTAAATCTGATAGATGTACATCTTTTTGATCTTCATCATTTATTTGATAATATGAAGTTTGTTTTTGATTTGATGGAATTGATTCTGTACTATTATTATTATTTTGTTGTTGATCTTCGTCAAGTATATCATCTGATGATGATGTTTCATATATTGATGTATGATTTTGTATTATTGTTTGTTTTCCATTTGCATCTGCTTCTAATTGACTACCCTCAATATACCAAACAAGTGAAAATATCGATAAAGTTAAATTTGGTACAATAACACACATTAATGTTAATATAAATAGCCAATAAGCACCTTCTGAATAATAAGCATGTGCTAAAACAATATCAGTAATCATATCAAAAAAGAATGCAAATACACCCCATGCATAAATAAAAACTTCAAAAACATTAATTGTCATTGTATTTGGTATAAAATCTGCAACCATTGTATTAAGTGATGGTCGAGAAAAAAGATGTGATTGTAAATTATTATTAGAACTTGAATTTGAAATAAATTCAACTGGATATGGTGGAAGTACTGCATCAGTTATATTTCCTAATGTTGAACGACGTCTCATCATACGAAGTTTTTCTTCTTCATTTAATGAAAAATGTATTTGTTGTGGTTTATTATCATTTATTAATGATAATCTATTTGATGAAATAGATAATGTTCTCAATGTATTGTTATCTGAATTGATAATTGTCTCATCATCATCATCATCATCATTAGGTGGTATAGGTTCAGGACTATGTGTTGTTCCTGTTACAGAAATAACTTCTTTACCAAGAAGACCTAATGGATTCGCACGAAATAATTCTTGATGTGTTAAATTTTTTATTGATTGAAAAAAATTAAGACTACTTGGTGCTGATATAGATACTTGAGAAGAATTTTTTGTTGATGCCTCAGTATCAGATGTATATGCAGATGTTGTTTTTGAACGTGGACGATTTAATTCTTCTGATAAAATCTTTGAAGAATTTAATTGTTCATTTATACAAGAAACAGACGCTTCTTCACATTGAGATATTGCAGTTGTTTGTTCTTCTATAAATTAGACAATATCGTATATAATTGCATAGTGTTCTAATAAAAATTCGAAAAGGATTTTGGATTCCTATTGAGATTTGACCAAGCTATCGAATTTTGCTCCGAAACTTTGAACAAACTCTTTGCCAGACATGAGACTTAAAAAATGCATAGTGTATACATTATCCATAGAAAATGGTCTATATTCTGAAGAGATTTTGTTCAGAACTTCTGTATTTTTGATGGAAACTAGTCTAAAATAGACATATTAAAAATTCGATAGTTTAGTCACATATCACTAGGAATTGAAATCAGAAGGAGGACGTAGCTGAAAAGATTCTCTCGTCAGTGTTTCTAATCGCAAGTGCACTAAGCAGATGCAAAATGTACAAAAGATTGACTGTTCTTGATTAGAGCCTTACATCACACTCAGAAACTTGACTCGGGTAGAGTTAGAATCGCGAAAAGAATATTCTTGGGAATCGAAGTGATTGTGAAGAATTTTTTCAGAGTCACATCATTAAAAAAATCAAGTATTTTACTCTTATGTAATAATAACTTTATTCTTCATATCTTCAGTAATTCACAAAAAAACATTACTTTTTAGACTCATGAATAAATTTCAAGAAAAAAAGCATCACAGTGACATTCTCATTAACAAGCATCACAAAAACAAGTATAATATGCCAATCAAAAAAACAAACTTTCTGGAGTTTGTCGGAGTCAGAATCAAAAAGTTTGACTTCGCAGGTCTCTACTCTCAATATATATGCTATTTCACACTGTATTCAGTTAATCAGTGTACACAGTACACTTTGTTTATAAGATGTTTAAATAAATTCTTAAATGGCAAAATAGTAAATGTAATTTATTCTAGTATAGAATACTTCACATCTTTTTTTCTTCTATTTTTCAATCTGTCTTTGATTATGTGAAGAAAAAGAAACACATAAAAATATGTTTTGTACTCATCACCTGTTTCATTATCAATCGGTGTTATTTGTAAAACGAAAAAGTAGGACTTCGTTATCTCTGTTTATGATAAAGAAAATAAATGTACACGTATACTTTGTTAATATAAACAGAATGTAGAAATAGATTTCATTCAAGAAACATTGAATCGACTTTGAAATAAAGCAAGTTTAATACCTGACTTTGATGGTGATTGTATATATTGTTGATCATTATTGTTTTGTTTATTTTCATTTATCATTAATGATCGATTTAGAGCCGGTGATTGTCTATTAGAATTTTGATCGAACATCTGTTGAATAAAAAAACAACACAACAACTGATTAAAAACAAAAAAGGAAATCTAAACTTTTTCTCTTACTTTTTCTTAACATAACATATATATAAAATAAAATGAAAGACGTAAAGATAAATAATAAATGATTAAACATGAATAACTATACAAGAATTAGATGAAAATTTTATTTAATAAACAAAAGAAAAAAAGACTCAATGATAAAAAGAAATAAATTAATATTTATCTAGAATAAAACAAAAGAAAAAGAAAAAACAACAATGTCAAGAAAGATAAATAATAAAATCAAATTGTTTTTGTTTTTATATTCCTTCTAATGTTTCATGTTTAAGTAATGTTTGTAAATTACTCAATTTTTGTCTAAGAACATTTAAACAAGATAGAACAATCTAAAATAAATAAGTAATTATTTATTGATACAAAAAAAAGAAAAATCAAATTTACTGTTTCTGGTTTTAATGCACCTGTTGATTCAAGATTAAAAAAGTATTTAGTTGGTACTTTAGTTGCATCAAATACTGCTTCATGTTTATCTTCAGGCAATTCTAAATTTCGTATCATAGAAATATATTTTCTATTTAACAAAAAAGAAAAAATCTATTTTTTTTATTTATACCAGAATATTCCGAATGTGGCCATTCGTCAGGTACTGGATAAATTGTATGACGAAGACTATTATCTGGATCATATTCAAATGAAACACCCTAGAAAATTTAATTTATTAATATTTTAATTCTAAAAATAAACAAAAAAAAAAACAGAAACGAAATCTCTTACACAAGTTGGGATCCATTTAGCATGTTCTTTACCAAAACCTTTTCTTGCATGAGCTTTTAAACGAAGTTCTTGACCTTGACGAAGTTTAACAATTAAAATATCTAAATGGAATTTATATTATTTCGAAACAAAAAACTCTTAAACACAAAATATTAATCATTTAAAAAAAAGTCATACAATCTATCCGTATCATTTCTATAATGACTATTTCAACTCATATCATCTTCAAATTGTTTCCTTCCGAATTCTAGAGATGTGCAGAGTAGAGTAAATATCAGGGCTCGAACTTTATTTCCTTTCCCAAAGAAGATTTCTCACGTAAGAAAACAGAAGAACAAATCTAATTTTAATAGATTTTGATTTTTCATCAAAATTTCTGACATAGGTTTTACATCTTGCAACTGATAACAATCAGGAAATTTTATTATGCGAACATTTCAGGAGTTTCATTTAACCAATAAATAAAAACAGAGCATTGATTCAGTTCTATGATATTCTTCATCTACACATAAGGTCGAGTACACTATCAATTGCATTAAGTAGCATGGGTATTCCTGAAGTAGAACAGTGTAGCTTAAATTTGTAATCGATTTGACTCGTTGAAATTGATCAATGGGCATTTCACTCATGAAAGTTTATGTTAATAAGTGATAATCTTCAAAAAGTTGCAGCACTCACGAACGCATCCGGATCTTATGGTTCAATAAGTAGTTCACTTATTTTCTCATCCTGTCTTTTTTTCAAACATTAAAATTGCTCAACCTTTATTCATTTCATGATCATTACGATAATAAACTTTTTACAATGGTCTAATAAATAATTGCAGTGGTTGTCGAGTTCCATCATGTAGAAATTCTTTTTGTCATAGAAATATAATGTCGTTCTAAGTTGGATAAGACCATCGAAAACTTACTAGATTTCGAGGTCTGATAAGCATGTTGCAGAGTAGGGTAACAGTTAAACAATTTTTCTCAGTCAAGATACTAGATACGAAAAAAAATCTTACTCTGCATATCGCTACTTAATTGAGATCTTTTCTTTTTTCTTTTCATACAATAACATAAGAGATTTTATGAATTACAACCATTAATCATGTAGATAATTTTAATATTTCAATTAAATGAAAATAAAAACTTACGATCAACAAAATTATCTCGTCCTTCATCATCATTTTTAGCTTTTGATGTTACTGGTACTAAATGTGGATTACTTGTTATAAGATCAGCTGATGTAACCTAATATTCAATCTATTCAAAATAAATAAGTTGATTTACTTATATATTATCTTACATTTCTTGTTTGATCTTCTCGATTTCTTACATCAAGTGTAAATTCAACTGAACATTGTGGACAAAAACCTTCACATGCACAATCACGATGATAATTCATTTTATCAACAAGTTCTTCACTATATAATGGAATTAAACCAATACGATGTGCAAGAAATTCATCAAATAAAACTGTTGTATTAGAATCAATTTGTACAGAATCAATAGCTATTGTTGGTGTTTCAGCAATCATACAACGACGGATAGCATTAGCTACACTTAAATCTGTATTTTCAATAACAAATTTTATATTATCTTCAGTTAATTCAGTCACTTGAACACTTGGTTGATTAGCGTACGGCATTATACTAGAAGAAATGATTCAAATGATATAAAAACAAAAATAAGCATAGACGAAATTTTGTGCAAAGAAAAATTTAATGAATCAGACAAAAAAAAACGATCGAACGAACCACAGATATTTAATTCAATTTTATTCATTTGTCGATTTCGCGTAACCAATAATATTTAATATATTTAATATGTCGCTCTTCTGCAGCGAGCTGATTGATGTCTACATATGGTAACAGCTTCCACTGGCGAACGCTCATCAGTTTTCCTGGTAAACACAAAATAATAATTGATTCTTTTTCTGTACTTCCATCAATATAAATGTCTATCTTATGTTATGTTTTTTTTCCCCTCGCAATTGGTTAGAACACAGTTCTGTTGATGCATGAAACATAATCCGTAGCGATAAGAACAACACAAAGAACAAGAAAAGAAGTATAGACAATGAATGATTGCGATAGACATTATAAAAGAAAAAAGATTAAATACTAGAACGAAAGAGAAAAGTATCTATATTCAACAGATTATGTTATGTCATTTTCTTGTCTTTCATTTATCAAGATGTAACCAAAGGCAATGTCACTAGACGAAGTGTTGTAACTTCTTGCTTTCTTTCAATTGATGTTCGATGTGAAAGAGGTTGTGGCCATTTTTCAAACTAAAAGAAAAAAAAACACAAAAGAAAAATTACAAATTTGATTTAAATATATTTATTTTACTCACAGTTCCTTGTAAAGGAAGTCGACCAGCTGCATATCCAAAATGCATTGAACTTGCTGTTTTAGAAAATCCAAAACCTGATTTTGATTGTAGTCCTTGTGTTGTCTTTGTTGTTTTTGTTATAGTTGTTGATGCATCATCATTGTCATTATTTGACATTGTTAAACGTGTTTGTGCTCTTAAACCTTTGCGAGATTTTTCTGTAAGATTTTTATATACATCAAATGATGAATAATAAACTTCAGCTAAACTTAAATAATGATTTGTATTTTGTGTTAACAAACGATCACGTAATGTTGTTCCTGTTCTTGATAATGATTGAGTACGTTGAGGTGTTTTGGGTTTTTTTATAGTTATTACTTTATTGATATTTTTATTATTATTATCATTATTATCCTCATTATTATCTTCATCACTATCAGAACAGTCTGAAGCTGAAAGATAATTTCGTGCATGATCTTCATAATTTCTTATTTTAACTGGTGAAGGATTTGTTACTTTTTTTGTATTTTCACTTGAATTTCTAGCACATGGTGTTATAGATATAGCACGAAGTGGTGGTGGAATAATTGAACTTATGAATATTGTTGATAATTCTTGTGTAGGTGTTTTTGGTGATGGTGGTGGACCACGTGGAATAAATAATTGTGATGTTGATGGTGACTGATCAAAAACAGATGAAGCACGAATTTGTAATTCATCAATTGTTGCTGTTTGTTTTGGTATACATATTGATGGAGAATATTTTAATGATGTTTGATATGAGCGATAAGGAGGTTGAATATTTAATGATGTTGTTCGCATTGGAAATCTTGGTGGAACACGTAACTAAAATTTGAACATATTAATTAATAAAGAAAAATATTGCTTAATTAATTTAAATCAACAAACAAAAAAATAAAGATTTATTCATGCAAATGAAAATTTACCTTTTTTTCAAGTGATTGACTTTCTGGAACAATTACTTGACATGGTTCTGATCTAGTTGTTACAATAGTATCTTGATCATTATCTTCGAGTTTTCGTGGACGAGGTTTTTTATATGGTGTTGATACCCGACGAGATAAATCTCTGTCATGTATACGTGGTGCTGGATGAATATTAATCATATCTATATTTTGATCGTTTTCATGAAATAAATCTGTACAAAAAATATGAAATGAACGATGACATCGACAATCAGGTGATGTAATAAGATGTGATGGTAATTGTACTAAATTTGGTTGAGAAATATTTCTGTTTTTTAATAATAAACTTACACCTTCAACAACAAACAAAAAAAGTCAAACAAATTGATGTCACAAAAAGAAATCAATAATGACAAAATGAAACACTCAACAACGCCTACTTACTAAAAGCAATAGATTGTTCTTCATCATCAATATTTTCCATCTCATTATTATTATTATTATTATTATACGATTTTTTCACATTCCAATAACTTAAACCGTCGGATTTCATTTGATTACTTAAATTTTAGTTACTCAAACAAAAACTTCATAAACGATCTTGTAAACTTACCATTTCATTGTCATCGTTGCTAGTTGTTTTCGGATTCAAAAAGTAACAAATCACTTCACATTTTAGTTATAAAGACATACAACATATATACCTTTTAGATTGTAAGAAAAAAAGAAAAAGAGAAAAAAAGAACAGCAATAATAATAACAACAACAACAATAAAAACAAAAAAAAGAATTCAATAATAATCTCATCAGATGAAAAACTACAATATTGATTGTTCTCTTCTATATTTTATTTTTTTTAAAAGAACTCAACAACATATACATATACATTCATTTGTTTCGATAAGAATATAGTTTGTCGAACAATATTTTTTTTTTCTTTTTATCAACATATTGAATTTCATTTGATGATTGATGTGTAACAATGTTGTTTTTTCGCTTTTTCGAGCCGTCAAAATACATAAGAAATTTTGTATTTAAAAAAATATTCATAACCATTAAAACAAGTTTACATATTTATATATATATATATATATATATATATATATGTCGTTTGATTTTCTACTTTTCTGTTTTTATTAAGTAAAGATGAATATATATTTGAATGAAAGGTACATATAACAGTAGGATACTGCATAAACATGATTAGTTTTTATTTTATTAGTGTGTTATTTTTTTTTTGTCTGTTAGGATTATCGTCTAATAAAAAATAAATCATACACGCATACTAAAGTGGAGATACAGTCTGATACTACAACAAAATATCTAAGCAAAAATGTTCTATTTGTTTAAAATTTTTTTAACCGATTTAATAACATTTGGAACCTGAGGCATAGAATTTTGTTCCAATGTTTTAGCATATGCTAATGGGACATCGGCACCAGTGACGCGTAATGGTGGAGCATCAAGATAATCAAAAGCATCGCCTAAAATAACAAAAAAAAAAAAACAATAAAAGTATTGTTAAATTGCCTAGGAATTTTCTATTATTTTTAACAATTATCTCATTTTCTGTTTCTTGGGTTTTTCTACTTTCTTTTTTAAATAGAATATAAATCATATATCCTCAAAGAAAACGAAGCCATGAGGTTTAGATAGACTCAAACATGGATTTCTCGTTCCATCAAATTGGTAAATCTATACAATGCATCGAAATTCTTATACAAACATCGAAATTTTTTACTGCCTGCAGCGATAAATAGTAACGTTTTTGTAGCTAAGCACATTTAGAAAACATTCAATTTTGTATATGACTAAATATTGGGCTCTACATTTCCAATGACTTGAAGTAGTATTTCTTTGCAATAAATGCAGAAGAACTGTACAGCAAAGCAACCAGGAGCTGCCTCGAATCTTCTTCACCTTCCATTGCTAATAGAGCCCGCCCAATGTAAAATTTCCGAATCCGGACTCAGTTGAACGGTGCTGCTTCACTATTATTCTGTTTTTCAATATAATAGATAGAAAACTCTTCTTTCGATTGTCAAAATTAAATAAAAACAAATGTTGTGGTGTTTCTTTAAGTGTAAATTTTTTGAAATAAGTTACACATGTTTTTATGAACTATACCAGCTCTATACAATCTTGAAAATAAGAAGCCTTAACTGTATTTCATCTGAATGGTGTAAAAAGATTCACTCTCCCCATTCTCAATATTCGTAACTTCTCTATGGGGATCTTATAAAGATTGTCGAGCCTACCCTAGATTCAAAATGTTCCATCGTCTATATATGTCCTATTAAAAGCAATGCTTCAGGCAAAAGCTTTTTTCATTTTTGATGTCTTTATTCGGTGGTAAATAGCGCGTTAAATATAGAATTATATGCGAGGTTTTATCTAGATTTTCTCTTTCGCAGAAGTAATTTCAAACTTCGGAAGAAGAAATACATTTCTTTTGAAAGCACAGATACATAGGATGCAGTACAATGACCACAAATTTCAAAAGAGCGGACCCGATGTTTTTGGAGAGACACTCTTGCCTTCAGTTTCTACACTGGATGAAACATTGATTTGTACGAATATTAATTATTCTTCTTGATATATTCATGAATTTTCTAATGATTCTAATACACAAAAAAAACTATTATTATTATGACGAACATACTTTCACATATTCTTGCAATAATTTCACTACCCATACCACATTGAGGCCAACCAAATTCAACTGTAACAAGATGATGAGTCTTTTTAACAGACGTTTTAATAATTTCTTCATCAAGTGGTCTTAATGTTCGTAAATTAACAATCTAAGAAAGAAAATACAATTATTTTAAAAATAAAACAAAGAATTTCAAATAACCTCGCATTGAATTCCATTTTGTTCAAGTTCTTTAGCAGCTTCGAAACAAATTTTAAGACCGATTGAATGTGAAACAAGTGTAATATGTTTGCCTTCACGTTCAATTTTGCCTTTACCAATAGGTAAAACAAAATCAGCAGATAATGCTTCATCAGAGATAGGAAATTGTTGACCATATAATAATTCATTCTCAAGAAAGACAACTAAAAATAATACATCATTACAAAACATAATAGAAAATGAATCATAAACAAACCTGGATCATCATCACGAATAGCAGCTTTAAGTAAGCCACGACAATCTTCAGCTGAATAAGGTGAAATTACTTTAAGACCAGGACATTGACTGTACCATGTTGCAAAATCTTGAGAATGTTGAGCACCCACACCTATATTCATAAATAAGCAAAAAAAATGATTCATAGTTTCGCAAAAATTTTTTTTAATTACCAGCAGCTGCTCCATTCGGTCCACGAAAAACAATAGGTACTTTAACCTAAATTATATTTCAACAGAAAAAAAACAAAGATTTTCAAAAAAGAAATTTTATTTTTACTTTTCCTGATGACATATAATAAGTTTTAGCAGCTGAATTAATAACATGATCAATAGCTTGCATAGAAAAATTAAATGTCATAAATTCACAAATTGGTCGAAGACCAGCCTTTATATTTTTAACGAAATCAAAAAGAATGTTTTTTTTCGTTTTTAATAGAAATCTTTTTTTTTCTTACCATAGCAGCACCGGTTGCTAAACCAGCAAAACCCATTTCTGTTATTGGCGTATCAACAATACGTTTATCACCATGTTTTTTCCAAAGACCTTTCGACATTTTATAAGCACCATCATATTGTGCTACTTCTTCTCCAATTAAAAAAACTCGTTCATCACGTGTAATTTCTTCGTCCATAGCTTGTGTTATAGCTTCACGAATAGTGATCTAAATAAAATAATCTATATTACAAGATAGAAATATAATCAAAACATACAGTTTTTTCAGCAAGAGCTCGAGGACTAATAGAAAATGTTCGACGATAAATTACCATTGAACCATGAGACTAAAACAAACAATAATGATCAATAAGATTAATTATAAAACAAAAAAAAAAAGAAAACAATATTTATTACTTTGAGAATATCTTTGACTAGATTCATGGTGAAAAGTTGTTCGATTTTCTAATGTTCGAATCTAAAATTAAAAAATGATATTTTCTATTTTGAACATAATCATTCAAAAAAATTTGTTTACTCTGGAAACGATGGCGTCTAGTGTTACAGCCTACTAGCTTTATTTAATACGTATAAGTAGCGCCATTTTTGATTGGATACTAATTTACCATTTAACAAATGTCGCTGTTCGTCATACGGAGGTCACAATATTGTTAATTTTAAGACATGAATTTACTATCTATGACCTTGTCTACAATAGAAAAATAATTCAGTATTAATTTTGAAGTAAAACTCAAAATAATAAATGAATTATCAATCTACAAAGTTCATCAAACGTTTGCACTAGAAGAAATTCTAGAAAAAAACACCAACAGATCAATTATTCTGTCCAATGAATATTACTGCTGATTTAATTGATCAATACAAGATAGAATTTATTGTTTGAATTGTTTTTTGTATTGAAGATAATATTTTCAATAGACGATCTTACAGAAATTGTTGCAATTTAATGATATTTATTTGGGAAGAAATGTTCACTCTACTGAAAGGAGGGTCATACGCCGAATGAGTTAGCTACGTTTGTTCGTAACTGCGTGCGTGCGTTTGTTCGTTAATGTCTTCCATGATGAGGTGTGATATTAGAAAACAAATATCCCAAAGATTTGATCAAAGGTAATCGGGGTCGGGGAATTCGAATCTGTAATTGGTTTTGCCCAAATTTTCACTGTTCTTTTTTTTGGAACAAAGTGGTTTTACAAAAAATGTTGTACAAAAAAAATCGTGTTTTTATCGAAAAAGTTGTTTTTTTTAGTGGAAAAATTTTTTGCAAGTCTACTTTGTTGCAAAAAATCACAGTGAAAATTTGGGCAAAACCGATTACAGATTCGAATTCTTCAGTCAAACTTTATTAAAAATTGATTGTTTTTGTAAAAAGGTCTTTGTTGGATAAGAAAATGAAGCTCAAAATTTTGAAAAACTAATAATAGGTTAGGCTTCCTCGAAGCCGATCACCTGTGGTCAAATTTTGTAAAAAAATCAGTTTTTTGATAAAAAACAACCTGTAAGGACAGGTTACCGGTTTGAACGGATGAAACGGTGACGGTGAAGCAATGATTTACTGTCATCGTTGCATCCCTAGCAGTGAACTGGTGCTAGTGAATCTGGTCAAATCTGCAACTGGCGTATCTCTAGTACGAATTTATTCTGTGTTGTTGAAGCATAACAAGCATTTAGTACTGTTAGTGCCAAATTTGTTTATTTTCACAGAACCATGTTGAAACTATTTTTTTTCTTTGAAACTATTTTGTGGGCTTTGAAAAAGATGGAAGACATGTGCAGTTTAGTGAAAAAAGATGGTCGCACGTTAATATGGAAAAAAAATCTTTACATCGTTTGTAGCAATTTTTATACGCTCTTTGTTGGTGGAGTAGTTCCCGATGATATGTATCGAAATTCTGAAGAATTCACCGAATTCAAGAGAAGCTGTGTAAAGTTTTTAGGAAGAATTTAGAACATGAACCATGCTCTAAGTGTTCGAAAGGGTTTGCACGAAACGCTTCATGCTTTTGTAAACTACGAAATGATTTCAAATTTTTCTTACGAAACTAAATTTTTAATGTGAGCTTGGCTCGAGGTTGCATGTTCCTTATTCTAATGAGATAGAGATTCAGTTCAATATTAAAAATCTAAGTTCAAAGCAACTCGATCTAATTAAGTTTGTGAAAAAAGCCCGTCCATGAGATGATCTTTACTACACTCCAACAAAAAAGTATGTGTCACTTGGTTCTCAGATCACATATTGATTTAGCTCATACATGTTCTATCATTGATTGTAAATGCTGCGGACGTTTGCATCTACTCACTTTTCTGAATGTGGTAATGTATTCATAAAGTATTTATTTTAATAGATAACTTATAGAAAGATCATAAATCAGTGACAGTATAAAGCATAAAAAAATTGAAACGAAACACGACGTAAATAATACATATCTCGTTGTTAATAGATTACAAAGAAACGAGAGTTCTAGTAAAATACGCATGGTCTAAACATATAAAGCGAAACGTTTTCGAGTGCTTATTGCAATTGTGTCTAATCTTTTGAGTTCTTCCATTTGTGCTGCTAATGGCTTCACTTGTAGAAATGAGAATTCGAATGGACGGATAATCAGTAGATCATCGAGTCGTTTAACACGAGATAGTGAAACGTAGATTGATGCAACTTCAACTAGACCAGGTGACATGACGAGATCGATGATAATTTTTCCAAGCGTCTGATCTTGACTTTTGCGTGTCGTGATACTGTAGGCGGGTATTAAAGGAGGAGCTTTATGCTTGATCGAGATTTTCGTTGTTCTTTTGGTGATTTTCGCAGCTTTTGCGACATTTTCAGTAAGAAGTTCTTTGACATCAAGGAGGAATGTTTGCTCACTAATGCATATAGGAATTGTTTTGGGCTGAAGTTCAGGTAGTTCAAAATTAAGCTTGCAATTTGGAAACTCTACTGAAGCGTACTTTGGTTGCGTCATAAACTTGGTATTGTTTGGAAAATTGTTTTGATGCAATTCAACAGCTTCAGAAGATTCTTCGTATACGAGTTGACGAAATATTCCACGTGTACCATTTGAAAGTCCGAGTTCAGTCGCAATATTTTCTGTGAGTAAAACTGGTATCACCGGTACAAGCGGTAAATAACCTGGAAGATGCTCCGTTTTATTATCTGGCAGTGCAAGAAGCGCTTGACGTAATCGTACATCTTCTATGTTTTTCCCTTGAATATAATCTTGAGCAATACATATGATTGGTCTAATTCCCATCTCCATCGCTTTATTCAGTACAGCTCTACTGTTTATTTCTGTACGAAGTGTGTTCCGAAAAACTAGTATTGGAGCCTATAAAAGAAAATTTGGATGACGTGTAGAAAAGAGTGAGTGAACCTACTTCGTTCCATGACTTTTTTTGTAAAGGTGCTTGAAGATTTGGAGTTCCTATGATACGTGTGCAAAGGCGTTGATAATCGTCAATTGTCGATTGTCCTTTTCTCAATCGGTTTAGAAGCTCTAAATACCGCACGTCTTCGGTTCGCATTTGCTGGTTTAATTCAACAACGTAATCAATTTGACATATAAGTTTGTGCGTCCATATCATATCTATTTGACGTTCGGTATATTGTTGTGGCATTGTGCAGCTGTGATAAAGAGGTTTATCCAACACTGGAGAATATTGTAGATAGTCACCAAAAAAGATCACATTCACACCTCCAAAAGGAACTTCTGAATTTGTATGTTTTGCTATTTTTACTATTCGATTGAGTCGAGCTAATAGACTAAGGCTTACCATGCTCATTTCATCGATTATCAAGTATTTTACATGACGCCATTCATTTTCCAACTTGGTGTCGCCAGGTCTGAATGTTCGTGTTTGCCTCTTTTTGGAATTTTTGCGACATTCACCTAAAAACGAATGTATAGTTAATCCATCAATCTCTGCCGCTGCTATAAATGTTGATGCCAATTTCCGCAGCATTTTGGCTCTCTTCGTCACTTGAAAATAGTTGGTAACTACATGAATCAACTGAGATTTTCCTGTACTACCGCAATCAAGTACACACCTCCAACGACGAGGAAGAGATCGCTTAGAATTGTCGTTTACAATAGACAATTTTTTTTGTTTAAGATGCAAATAAATTGCTCTCAAAACGAGATTTCAATCATTGGAGGCAGTAATATCGTTTGTTTTGACGGATCACCGCACCGTTACAATGCCAACTGCCGAAGTTTTCGTTCCAAATTTTTAACTGATGTTATGTTTCTCATTGTTATTTGCGTCATATTCATTTCTTGCATCGGTTACTGTTGCTGTCGTCGTAAACAACGTCGATCACAAGCAATTGTTGCTAGTGATCAATTTTTTAATCAGAACAATATCAATAAATGTTAATATTATCGTCATTATCTATTAGTGTTCGTAAAAAAAAATAACTATTTGATTTTTTTTGAAATTATATAATAATTCTGCTTAAATATTATGTTAAAACTATGAGACTTATGTTCTCATGGTTTCCATGGTAATACTGTATAAAAAATTTGTTATGCCGAGTACAAAAAATGTATTAGCAAGAAAAAGAGTACTTGGATAAAAAATTATATAAAAAGGATTTGTTAGTTTACTAGCTTATCTTTTATTGTCATCGCTTCGATTGAATTGTTAAATGACAAAATTACTGAACAAAATATGTACATAAAATTTTCCAGAACAGTGGAATCGTAGTATGACTATTCATACAACATGAAACATGAGCTAAAATATTGTTTTTGTCACAGTATAGAAGAAATATGTTGAGAATAA